GAACAAAAGAGGGAAATCTGTCATCGTCAAGTCGGTAACGTTCGAGACGTATTTGAACTTGATGTTGGAAAGCAGAGGGTTCGATATCGTCTTGTAAAAGTCTTCCAGTTGCAGGGAGGCATCAGCACTTTCGTAAATATGCCTGGCAAAACCCGAATTGTTCAGGGATATTTGCTCCAAAAACACTCTATCGGCCCCATCGCCAAACGATAGGGATATCAGGGGAGTTTTTTTATCGTTTAATTTGGTAATCTACAAGAGTTAATACAAGTTAAATTTGCAGGTTCATAAAGTTTTTTTTTTATTAAAAATCCCTGCTTTTCCTATAAAATTTTATGTGGAACACTGCCCTGCATTATAAACAGTTGGCAGAAGTCAAAGCAAGTCTATGAGTCACGCGCCAAAAGTTAGTCGACCGCTCCCATACTTTCCATTATTAATACACTCCAATTCATAAATATAACCATGACCTATGCCACAAGGGTCATCCTATCCAATATTACTGTAGAGCAATCTTGCCAGATGTAAAGTACATACAAAAAAAAAAATGTTTTTTGAATGTCAATTTATTTTGACTAAAAAAACAAAAATCATTTTGATTTAATACTATTTTTTCGCAATAGAGTTTATTTTTTAATACTTATCATAAAAGTGGCTTGAATTAAAAAAAAATCTATTATTTCACAATAAGTAATTCTAATTTATTAATTTTTAATTCTTAATTTTTTGTATGTTTTTTTTAATTTTTTCTTGACTTAATTTTTTTAATTTTTTTATGGATTTTTTAATTTTTTGTTTTTTTTATTTATGTGTATATTATCCGAATTATCTGCTGAAATAAAAATTTCGAACCAACTTCTTTAACAGTTATGATCTTTTTACTTGTTATAAAACCATTAACAGCGCATTTTAGTATAAAGTTGAAACAATTATTTCGTGCACTTTACCAGGTAAAGTTTACCTCGATTTTTAAACGATTTAAATATTTTAAAGAATGTTGAACATGACCCAAAAACCACGGTCTTAAAAGACCGTGCTAGAAACATATGTTGAATTAATTCGTCATTCTTGACACATTTGTTATACAATCACGTCACGCTCTCTTTAAGCGTTTTGAATCTTGCGTTTTTGCGTATAAAAATCTTATGATTGTAAACTGTCTCAAGAATGTCAAGTTAGACTGAAAAAAACTGTGTTAAAAACGCAAAATGTCTTACCTCTGAAATAATAAGTTCATTATTGGTCTGCCCCATGGTAGCTTCACCGTCTGTCAAAAAAACAATCATGGGTTGCACACCCTTAACCTCATTTTTCTGCACGAGTTCTATGCCAGTTTTCAAGGCGGCCATGATGTTGGTACCGCCATCGGCTTCAAATTCGTTCACAAGCTTTATGGCGTTCTTGACGTTGGCTTCAGTGGCGTCGTAGGAAGGGTTGAGCGGTATTTTTTCCTTCTTCGCGACCGGGGCTTCGGTGTACCAATTCGTATCGGTTTCGATTTCGTAGCCCACCTTTTTACCGGCTACATCCCAGACCTTGGCCCCGTAGGAAAACTCGACCACGTTGAATTTGTCCTCGGGTTTCAGCTCGGTCAAAGTGCTGTTCATGGCTTCTTTCAGCTGCTGGATGCGTTGCCCACCCATACTACCACTCGTATCGAGGATGAATACGACGTATTTAGGTAGGGGTTGGATATCTGAAGGGGCGAAAAAGTGCACAAAGTAACCTTCGTTTACAAGCACCTCCCCTCCTTGAGGGTCCCTCTCAACGTCATACTGAACCACAAACTGACCAGCCAAACCATTCTCTTCATCTGTTTTCAACTCCTTAGCGTACTCCCTTTGCTTAGTGATTGTCGGATTAAATTTAACCACAGCATTGTTCTTATCAATCATCGTAATTGCCGAGTTAGGATCCAAAGCTGGCTTATCAGTTTTACTGATCTCGTTTCCACTCCTCAAGTTCGGAGTCTTCACGAACTTCAAGGGACGAGACTCCATGATATTAACCTTCGTAAAAAAAAACACCATCAGTTTACACTTTTATTAAATGAGGTACAAAATACCTGGCAAGCTAGATCCTTGATAGGCTGCCCTGGTTGGATGTTCATAACGATCTCGTATTGGTCGGACTGCCGAGACAAGAGCTCTTCGTACATTAAATAGAAAATAGCCTTACTTTCAGGTTCTATGTTAACACTGACAGTAAACCTGTTGGAATCCCTGGCAGTTATGCTGACATGAGCGGCGGCTTGACCCCTGTTTACAGCCTAAAAGTTTCATAATCAAGTTAAGTTTTAAATTCTTGATAGTCTTCCCTGATAGCACAATTTATTCTAAGAATGTTTTTTAAACCTTCCAGTGAGAATATTCTTAGGATCATGCTATATTTATTCTATAGAACATGCTTAAAAGACATATAGCATGATCCTAAGAATATTCTTACTGGCCTATAGGCAGGTTCTTAGAAGGCGCAAAGTTTTAGTGGTAAAAATTAGTCTACTCTAAACATATGCTTAGAATGTTAAGAAAGTAATTGCTATAGAAAGTTCATTTAGGAATATTCCTGTTAAGCATATTTATTTCAGTTTCCTATATAATAGTAAAATATACCATAAACTACGTATAAAGGTATATCTATACTTAAGTAGCTAATTAGTAATGAGTATTAAATACTAAGTAAAAAACACAATCCAAAATATTTTCAAATTAAAACAATATTCGATAACAAAAATACTTTTACTATAGGTATTTTATTTTATGTTAAAAATAAATATTTATTAATTTGTATACCGATTATTTATTTCTGAATTAACATTTTTATGTAACTATCTTCAACTTCAATCTAATCTGACTTATCCCACAAAATTTTCCAATTTTACTTTCTATGAAATAATGTCATACAACTTATGGTTTAGAGGTCAAATTGTTTATTTAATGTTTTTAAATAAATATATATTAATATGTCGCAAAATTTTTTAAGGGGACGACAAATACATTTATTTGTCGTCTCCTGAAGAATTTTACGAATGTAGAATACAACATATTAAAACGTGGGTATCTAACTTTGGAAATATTCTCAAAAGCTTCCCAGAAGCTCCATAAGAAACCTTCTAAGAACATTCCAAAAACGTATTCTTAAAATGTTCTTAGGATGCTTTTTAGGAAGGTTTTAAGAAGATTTTAAGAATCTAATTCCATCATTAAAAGGGTATCTATTGAATGTTTTAAAAGTCCCTAAGAACATTCTTAGCAATAAGGAAAGGTTCTAAGAATATTCCATTATCCCGGGTCATATCTTCTTAGAAGATTCTTAAAATCAAATTTTGCTATCAGGGTTATCGTAATTCTAGATATAAGCCTTATTTTACGAAACAAATTAAAAAACTTTTTTTAGGATTCTTCATAAAAAACTATTTTTTTTTTCGTATTTTTATTATTTAAAATGTTTTAGAATTATTTTTTTTTACAAATTTTTAAATTTTATTTAAAATGTTTTTTAAATATTTTTTTTAACAAATTTTTAAATTTTTTTAAATATTTTAATTGTTTTCTGTGCCTGTATTTGTAATATAAAGCGTTTTATTTACCCAACTTTTTGAAATACTCCAAAAATTAATAGATTTTAATGTAAATGAGAAAAAGCTTTTTTACTAATATTCTTTCAAATATAATTATAATATTTGTAAATACTCTGGATTTGTCTAAATATTTACCAATATCATGTCATTGGTCAATTTTTCAAAAGCGTAATATGTGCCCAAATAAATACAAAAATTTTTTGCACAAAAATCATATATTGTACATTTTTTGGCCAAGTTTTGACCTCCGGGTATTAGCTCCATCTACCGTCTAAAGGGCGTAGCCTATTTGTGTTTCTCAGGTTTCTGCATTGTACAAATAAAATATAAAAAATCTCACCTCATTGTAGACTTGTTTGGCTTCTTCCTTCTCCTTTACGTAAGCTTTATATTGTTTGCCGCCAATTTCCATGATAAAACCGGATATAAAAGCTTTTTCGGGCAAAATCATGGAAAATGTGGTTTCTTTGGCATCTTTAAACTGATTTTTTACTTTGCTTGTAACCAGGGTGGTTGCAAATCTATTGGTGACGTTTGTGTCTACTTTCATTTCGTAGATTTTTGGTACTCCACTCTAAAATTATTATTATTAGTATGTTTTGTGAGACTATATAAAATACTACAAATACTTTTAATTCTTCAGGGGATGATTCGGTGGTTTGAGATAGTGGAGCCTCAGAAGTAACCACTAAATCTTTCGGTGGAGCTGATATAACATTTCCGGAAAATATGCACAGAACTGTGCATATTAAAAGTAAATTCCTATTCATTTCCTATAACAATAACAAATATTAAAGAAGTAAATTTGTTTACCACTTTTAATAATAGACTGTAATGAATAAAAATGTTACTTACTGATGCACCTAACTCTTGTAAACAAACTGCTTGTGAAATAGGAACGAAAAGCCGAAACCGGTATTATTTATGAACAAATTAATTCCCCTACCTCTTTGCTCTCGGCGTATCTGGTAATCCCACATAAAAATTTAAATATTTAGCTTTTTATGTACAATTGTTGATTATTTATTTCTATGGTTTTTGATAGCCTATGCTCTTTAAGTCTGTGTTTTCTTGCAATTGATTAAATTATCATATTATCGCCAATTAGGTCATAATTTTTGGAATTGTTTATTACCAACAAAAAAATAATTTTTCGATTTGTTTATGAATGCATTTAAAATTATAAAATCAATCAACAATGAACAACTAATTATTTTTGTTTATCCCCATCGACACGACTATTTTTATTGTATGGGCAAGTTATAAATAAATATAAATGCTTTGTATGTATGCAAATACGTGTTTTACGGTATAATTGTAGTAAATTACTTTACGATTATTCTTGGGATTTATTTTAACGTCATGTTAATTCTTGTTTATTATTTCAACGAAGTTTTTTTTTCAGGGTTAGTTCCGCTTTTATGGTAAACAAATAAAACGCATTTTATAATAATATTCGTATATTTAATAAATATAAATAAACCGCTTATTGATTCATGCGGATGTAGTCTTTAACTCTCCAAATTTCTGCCCCAAAATCCTCATAACATCCCCGTGTTTCCTGTCTGGGTTTTTAAAGTGGGAGTAATTTTCTTTCACGAATTTCGCGAAAGCTGTTGGTTCTCTTTTTGGCGTTACCGGTACAGATTTGGTCTCCCCTTTTTTGCTGGTTTTATTTATAAGAACCTCAAACTTTCCGTGACAATATCCGCAGCGTTTACGCTCTATGTCCAAGGATTTCGTATGGCGCCCGATACTGCAAAAGCAAGACGTGACGAAGAATTTTTACCGAACTGTACATGGTGTTATGTAATTAATTTAATATAGTTTTATGCCCTGAAAGCTCTAATACCCTTCTCTATTTATTTACTGATCCACCTATTAGCTTATAAGCGATGATTAGAAAATTTAGAACCTATTTTAAAAACTCCATAACCACAAAATTAATTTTTTCATCGGTTTTTTCTTTCTGTTTACTCAGATGAAATTACACAGCAAACGGAAAATTATAGAGGTGTATAGGATGACGCCACGTTTGAATATCGATTTCTAAATCTCCCTACGGTATAGAGTTGTATTCGTCAGTCGAGCGTTTCAATACTCTCCACAGTATAGAGGACGTAATTTCACTTTTGAACTAGTATTAATATAAAAATTATTTATTAATTAAGCTGTGTTGAATATTTTTCCTAAAGGAATAATTGCCAATAACCTGCACTGGTGTGTACTTTTTCATCAACCAGATTTAAATATTACAAAACTAACATATACCAGTGGAGATAGTGCAGGTTCTACCAACAGACCTAATTACTAAATTATTAAAGTTTAATAGCATATCGATCATTTTTTCAACATAACCTCTGAAATTTTCAATACAAATATAGGTACTTTATATAATACATAAATATACTTAACATCATATCATCTGTGCTTTACATACCTGAGTTGTTACGGTAACTAAAAATCAGACAAAGGAACCAAAGAAAGGAACTATTTTCAACAAAATCATATGCAGAAAGGAGAAAATTCAAACTACTTGCATCCATCAAAAGATCAAAACTTCTTGCAATATTACACCCTCTTACTATACTCTCAGAAATATTGACTAGAACAGTATTAGAGAGACTCCAGTTTCTATAACTTGGTAAAGTAAAGAGAAGTCGAAACCGTTGCGATATTGCATTGCGCTGTTTTTGTATAATTCTCGGGGGCATTAACGAAAATCATTGCCAGTAAAATTCGAAAAGCTTGAGTTTCTATGTCTCTGAGGAGAATAGGAATCCGAAGTTGCTGCACCATTGGACTGAACCCTTTTTTAATAATTTCTAGAGACATAAATGACTGCACCATTCGACAGGGTCGAGTTTCTACTCCTCTGTTGAATATAGAAAATCAAAATAATGTATCTTGTAAGACAACATTGAGTTTGACTTTAAATATAGTCGTGCATAGGTATAGAGCCGAAAAATATAAAAACAAAGCACGATTCAATACAGTTATGATAAAACTTTAAGATTTGATATTCAAACGCGGAGTCATCCTATACGCTTCTATAATTTTCCGTTTGCTGTGTAGGACACAGGTTAAACTTTAGTTAAGATATTTACAATTTGAGCACATAACCTAAAATTTGAAAGATCTGCTCTAGATTCTGCCACAGTTGCAAGATTTTGTTTGAATTTACCTTCATTACAAAAATGACATAATCAACAATTAATAAAAACGCCAAATTAACAATTTGCATTGTCGATTTTGTCATTTTGTAATTAAGATAAAATTAAACAAAATCTGGCAACTTTTTTGACAGAATCTGGAAAAGCTGGTTGTTACCAACCATAACATAATAAATTAAATTAGGCAACCAGATTAGCCTAAAGTCCTAGTCGATCAGTGGCGTACTTTTTGGTAGGATAAAGGATATTATAAATTATTTTTAGATCTACCCATTTTGATACATTACATTAATTACATAACACCTGTATATTCGTCTTACCTGTATGAACACCCTGAACATTTGTAGGTGTATTTTGTATTGATAACGTAGTCGTGGCATCTTTTGATTGGGGGCAATTCAGGGAACCTTTTCATTGCTTTTGAAGCCCTTAAATATCATTATAACAATACAAAGACTTACTTGGTTTATTTAACATGCCAAAATAAAAAAGTTTCTCCTACATCATTTAAGCATTAGAGCTACTGTTTTTTAATACAAAAAAATCATTGTTGTTCCTGACCTATGACAACTGGCACAGAATAAGCTTGCACAGTGGGCAATAATCTATATTCATTAAAATTTACATTTGTGTTATCACTGATTACTTTGTTGATAATTTTATTTTGTTTTGCAGTATATTAATATTTCAAGACCTTCTCTACAAAAAGTCGTAAACAAATACGAGCCCTAACCACATAATGTTCGGACACTTCATAATTTATACAGAAATTTTTTTCGTGAATACTATCTCAAAATTATTAGAAGTTATGAAAAATTCAGCTTATTTTGGCATATACCCCTCGAAGCGATTTTTATTTTTAAAAAGTTTACCTTTTATTTTTAGCTTTTAAAAAAAGGCTAACTTTTTAACTTTTTTTTGTATGAGTAAAAAAAGTTATAAATGGACCCATTAAAAAGAGCATAAAATATTATACAAACCCTGAAAATTTGGTAAAAAATAAATAAGTTATAAAAAAGTATAAGTAATTTAAAAATGCTATTTTTAAAGAGTTTTTGCAATTTTCTTAGGAAACGGGAGATTTTGCAGATATATATATCGCTATAACTTTCTTATTATTTATACAATTTTTACCAAATTTTCAGGGTTTGTATAATATTTTATGTTCTTTTTAATGGGCCCATTTATAACTTTTTTTACTCATGCAAAAAAAAGTTAAAAAGTTAGCCTTTTTTTAAAAGCTAAAAATAAAAGGTAAACTTTTTAAAAATAAAAATCGCTTCGAGGGGTATATGCCAAAATAAGCTGAATTTTTCATAACTTCTAATAATTTTGAGATAGTATTCACGAAAAAAATTTCTGTATAAATTATGAAGTGTCCGAACATTATGTGGTTAGGGCTCGTATAATCATCCGTTTACTAACTAACCGTGTGTTTTATTTAACTTTTAAACGGCTTTAAATTTTGAGTAAGTAATTAAGGTTATGTTTTCAAGTTTTTAATAAATTATTCAATTACTATATAATTTTTTACTTTTCCAAGATTGTTATTTTGAAGTATTAAAAATTTACATTTATAGTTCAAAATTTCATATGTACTGATTTTTTTGTTAATTGTTGCAGATTTTCATAAAGTGGCAGTGAAGAAAAAGAACTGCATTTTCTAGGTAAATAGTGTTTATGCATACAGGGCTTTTACTACAAGCAGGACAATTTAAAAATAAATGTTCTACCTATATGTTACAGCGGAAAAAAAGGATTTATTGGGTTTAAAGATCTATAGTGCCTGAAGTGAGCAAGGTAATCGTAATTTTTGCATTCAATTTTAATATTGATTTCTTTTTTATTTTAGAAGTTACCAATCACAAACAATTTTACAATAAATTGTTAATGTTTAATAAAACATAATTCTTGATAGCCTTATCGTAATTCTATTTGTCTCGTGTATTATTAACACGTATAAAGGTATTTTTTCTAGAGAGTGTACATGAACACGGGAGATTTCCTCCTACTGCGGCTGTAGAGTTTCAAAGATCCTTTGACGTGGCCTTGAACAATGCCGGAAATCAAAGAAAAGTCTTATTTTACGAAACAAATTAAAAAACTCTTATTAGGATTCTTTATAAAAAACTATTTTTTTTTTCAATTTTTATTATTTAAAATGTCTTAATTATTTTTTTTTTAAATTTTATTTTTTTTTATATCATTGTTTTTAGAGGGTTTTGTCAAAAAATCTTCACAATTTTTTTATTGAAAAACGGTAGCTCAAAATCAAAAATGATAGAGGAAAAACTTTATTGTTTTGGCGGGTACTATCATACCATGCTTTCCAGTAAGGCCCGTGTCCGTCAGAAACGTTGTTAACCAGCCATGTTGCCGCGTGGCACAGTTCATGTACCAAGGTATCCCTTAAACGGTCCGCTGAATCCAAAACTTTAGTGGATAATACCACCCTTACGTTTCTTTCTACGGCACCGGTGCGCCTCGTCACTTTTTTGCAATAGCAAAAACCTAACGAAACAATTCAACGTTTTTTTTTTCGTCTCGATAGGCGAAAAAACTTACCAGCCGACCCCCTCATTCTGTCATTCCATTCTATAGGGGTGTCTTCTGGCAGGGTATCGTCAAAAATTTCCTTGTTGTATAGAGTGAACAATTTGTCCGCCAATTGGGTTCTGTGTTCTTTGAAATTCGTTCTAAATATTCTCACAGAAAAGTCTATTTTGTCTATTGGGACGTTACCTGATTTTAATGCAAAAAAATGACCTTGTTTTATACAATAATTAAATATGCTTTGTTTTTACCTGAAAGTGATTCTAAGAAAGTCCACGATTTTTTTTTTGTACTTATTGCGATTTTATCCGACTTATCCGTTGTCCACTCATCACTTGAACTATCTGCATATTTTTTATTAGTTTTTTTCCTTACAGGTTTAACATTCTTCAAACTATCACTATCATTTGAAGAAGTAGAACCTGATACATACAAATCCCTGTAATCCCTAAACCCAGCAGGTTGTTTTATTTCCTTCTTCTTTGGCGTTTTGGCATTCTTCCCCTTTAGAGGATTTTCGTTATTCAACTTTTTTCTGATCCTCTCCTCCAACGTTTCCCCCAAATCGGAAAATTCAAACGAATTCTCCTTGTCATTGGTATCTGCTCGTGTCTTTTTATCAAAGTACTTTGATGCAGTGCCCTCTTTAGGCGTGTCGTCGAAGTTTAATTTGGTTCGTTGTTTATTTTTTACCGGAGTCGTTTCCGGCGATGGCGAAGATTCCGGGTCGCATAGGGTTTTTAACTTTGCCATCCAGGGGGTCGAGATTTTTTTCTCTACCTTGGCGGTTTGCAGGTTTTTAAGAAGGTTGTTTTGCGGTTTTGGTTTTCTGTTGATAATAACGAATTTTTTCGGTTTCAAATTTGAATTTAAATTTTAAATTACGAATAAATATTCAAAATAATAATAATAATTAAAAATATAAAAAAATACTTTTAAATATTTAAAAAAATATCTTACCTTTCAGTCTTTGGGACATTTTTGGCAACATTTTTCTTAACATTTGCTTTTCTTGGCTCAGATTTTGGCAAAACCTGCTCCTTATTTTCCCGCCAACTTTTACCATATAAACTATCCAATACAGATTCATACTCCAAATTAATGTCTACAAAAATTTATTTGGAAATTTATAAAAATAGTAAAATGTTTAAGGGAAAATTATAACAAAAAAAAAATTTATTATAAAATGAAATAAACGACATTTTAGTAACAAATAAAATTGTAAGTAAAAAATTGTTAAAAAATATTATTTTAAAATAATAAATAAAAATTGGAAACATTAAAATTGATGAAAAACCGTGGTTTTAAGAAAAAAACACATGGTGAAAGATGACTTACTAAAGGTACCCTGAAGATTTTTAAAAAATCCCAGTTTCTGGGTTTTTTTGAAAATTTGACAACAACGCTTAATAGGGAAATTTGACAACATCGCTTAGTAGTGAAAGATGACTTGATGAAGGTACCCTAAAGATTTTAAAAAATTCCCAGATTCTGTGATTTTTTGGAAATTTGGCAACACCGCTTAATAGTCAAATTTGGCAACACCGCTTAGTAGAAAAAGATGAATTACTGAAGGTATCGTAAAGATTTTAAAAAATTCCCAGATTCTGGGATTTTTTCGAAATTTGGCAACAACGTTAAATTTTGCAACACCGCTTATCAATTAAATTTGGCAACAACGCGTTATAGTGCAAGATGACTTACTGAAGGTATCCTGAAGATTTTAAAAATTCCCTGATTCTGAGATTTTTTTAGAAATTATGCAACAACGTTAAAGTTGTCAACACCGCGTAACAGTAAAAAAATTCCAGATTCTGGGAACAATTTGGCAACAACGTTAAATTTGGCAACACCGCTTGACAGTGAAAAATTACTTACTGAAGGTATACCAAATTTTTAAAAATTTGGCAACAACGTTAAATTTGGCAACATCGCTTAATGGTGAAATTTGGCAACACCGCGTAATAGTGATAGATGACTTACTGAAGGTACCCTAAAGATTTTTAAAAATTCCCAGTTTCTGGGATTTTTTGAAAATTTGGCAACATGGCTTAATAGTGTAATTTGGCAACACCGCTTGATAGTGAAATATGACTTACTGAAAGTATCTTGAAGATTTTAAAAAATTCCCAGATTCTGGGACGTTTGTAAATTTGGCAACACCGTAAAACGAAAAAAATCCAAGATAATGGGAATTTTTGAAAATATGGCAACGTCGCAAAAAATACAATAATAAAATTTCTTTATTTACCTTCATTTTCATCATTTTTGTCCTTCAGTACTGATTTATCAACACTTCGTCTGCATTTTGTAGTTCTTTCATTGCTATTTCTCTTATTTATTCTTTCCTCAAAAGAATCTTCAATACACAAGTTTCTTAACGACCTATCAATATTGTTCACATCATTTTTGTCTTCTTGCGAGCCCAGCTTGAAATTAAACTTCTCCAAATCATCATCCTTAACTAAAATCTGCTTTTTCCTGAAAAGCTCGTCAAATCTTCTATCGTCGGTGGAAATTTGGGTGGAGTTTATGGCACAGGCCGCCCCTTCCACTTGAAAATTTCCGCCGATGTCGTCGCCGAAAATCGTGGAAACTTCGCTAAAAACCGTGTTATCCATGATTTTGTTTATTCTAGGGTTTGACTCCACATCCACTTTATCGATCCATTTTTCTATGTCGTGGATTTTTGTCCTGCTCAGGGGTGCATTTTCTTTCGGTAATAACTCAGTACTTTGAACTTCATCTTCAGATATTTCTGAATCGGATATTTCAATTGGTTCTGCGTTGTTTTTGATAAAACTATGCCTTGGTTTTGATGAAACATCTGAAGAATTGGCGGAATCACTTTCCAGAAATATCAAGCTATCATTGTTAATTGTTTTTTTTTGCTTATCAAATATTGAGGATCTTCGAAAATGTTTTTTTAAGGCTAACACGGATGTTCCTAAAAATTATAATTAATACAACCTTGTATAGGTATACAAAATTGTATATTTTGTACCCTTCTTTGCAACTTTATATCCTTCTTTCACCTTTGGGGACATAGAACTAAGCAATTGAATCGTATCATCCATTATTAACTATTCTTTGCTATAATTCTATTTAAAACAACACAATAGAACACTTTACAACATATTAAAACCCTATACACTATATTAATCACGTTTTTCATTAATAAAACACAAAAAAGCGTGATGTTATTAAAAAAACATTGTTTAAGAAAGTTTTGACAGTTGACATCGATTTGAATTTCACACCAACTGTCGTTAAAAATTCCCTAACAAACAAAACTGGTTGCCTAAGAGCAGAGTAATAAAGGTTGCCTATAGACAATTAAATAAAAACACAATTTACTTAAAAATAAACATTTATTAACTCATTTATTGTTTTCAACCTTGGATTCGTTGGAAACACTAAAATTGTGCAGTTTTAAATTACTTTTTGGCGTCCCATTCATTTCCTAAAAAATATTCATAAACATTAAATTAACAACAAAAACTATGGTATACTTTTGGTTCGTAGGCGAAAATAATTCCGTCATTGGGTTCTGTGGATTCTTTAGGCTTTATAAACCGCCTTATAAAGGGCGCTAGCAGTTGTGTATCTACGTCGTTTATATCGTGGGATTTTGTTACAAAACTGACCAATAAACCCACGAAAATTGTCACTGACGTCCCCACTAACGCATACCATATGTACGAAAGGCGATACAGCATGAATTTTTCACTGAAAAATACTATTGTTCAAAAAATAATGAACGAGAGGTAGACTTTTAATACTCTGTATGTGTAACGTGGGTTGCGTTGCTCATAGGGTTGATTTTGAGGTGCAAAATATTGCCCCCCGAATATTTCGGAGTGAAATGGTAGTGACATCCTTCAGTGGTGATGGGTTTTTCGGGAAATATTAAATCACCTGATGCGATTAGGGTTTGGGCGCGGTAGCACAGCCATATCATGAATGAAAGGCCTGAAGTGCCGCCAATTAACGCCCCCTGAAAATAAATAGCAAATAAAAGGCACAAAAGTGTTTTTAATATCAAAATATTTTGGTTTAGATGGTAACATTGTTTTAAACTTTGTATAACCTTCGATAGCTCAGTTGGTAGAGCGGTGGACTGTAGTTGGCGCACAAAAATAGATATCCATAGGTCGCTGGTTCAAATCCGGCTCGAAGGAAATTTTTTTTATTTTTTTTTTATATGGTTTTGGAATATTTTTAACGCATTTTAGCGGTTTCGTAATACATTTTTTGTAATTTCCAGTTTTATAATTTATAAATTATTTTTTTGAGTACAAAACTTGATTTTTGGACATTTTTTTTTAATTTAAATTTAAAAAAATGTCTAAAAATCAAAAATAAGAATTCTTGTATTAAATTTTTTACACTTAGTTTAGTATTCTTTTTATAGGTGCATTATAGGTTCCTTATAGGTTCTTTTTGGGTTCTTTATATTTTCTTTATAGGTTTTTTGTAGTTTCTTTATAGGTTCTTTATACCTATGTTATTTATAGGTTCTTTATGTGTTTTTTCATAGTTTCTTTACAGGATCTTTATAGTTTCTTTATGGGACTTAATATTTTCTTTACAGGATCTTTATAGTTTCTTTATAGAATCTTTATAGATTCTTTATGGGTCTTTATAGTTTCTTTATAGTTTTTTATAGGATCTTTATAGTTTCTTTATAGAATCTTTATAGATTATTTAAAGGGTACTTTATAAGTTATTTATATTATTATTATTCTTTATAGGTTTCTTATAGGTTCTTTAAAGGTTGTTTAAAGGTTCTTTATAATATCTTTATAGGTTTTTTTATAGTTTCTTTATGGGTTCTTTATAGTTTTTTTATATGACCTTTATAGTTTCTTTATAGGTTCTTTATAGTTTCTTTATGGGTTCTCTATAGTTTTTTATAGATTTATGTAATTTATTCATGGTTTATTTAGTTACCATATACAAATTAGAACAAAAATGTATGGAAAGTTAAAAAATAATTGAAAAGAAATAAAGGATTTGTCTGGTTTTGAAAAATAACTACTTACCTTGGCATTGACCCAAGGTAACGTGACCCCCATAATAAACATACCCAGGGACGGGCCTGAGGCGATAGCCCCGAAGCTCATAGAAAGCTGAAAAACATTTTTTGTCCACATACATACATTTGAAATGAATTATTTTTTTACCTGTAAAACAGACCCCAATTTTTCCACCACAAAAACCAGACCTACGCAGAGAGCGCCCAGAATAATAACGGTCAATTTCATGATGTAATACGTTTGCTTTTCCGTTATTCCGTTTTTGGAAAATGGCTTGAAAAAGTCTTCCAGAACTACCGCTGCCATCGCGTTGAGGCCTGTGGATAAAGAACTAAAAAAAAGTGGATTATTTTAAAAAATTGATCAATTTTTTTTACCTCAAGGCAGCACTAAATATCCCAGCGACAAATACTCCGGGCAAACCCGGATAATCGCCTAGAATTTCCATTACCAGCAACGGCAATAGTTGGTCTTTTTCTCTTGCCAGCTAAGTATAACAAATTGTATCATATTGATTTTTTGGAATATTTAAAATAATTACCATTGTTGTCAAAGGGTCGCATCTGTGAAACGTTGCAAATATAACCAAACCTGCATATCCACAAAGTAAAATAATCAAAATTGTTCCAAGGGTGAATATCCACAAACCCCTGAAATATAAAAAACGATCGAAAAATCAAGTTTTATATATAACTGAGACTTTTCTTACTGTCTGGTGGCTTTTAAGGTTGGCAACGACAGATATCTTTGTATCATATTTTGATTTATCGCAGATGAGTGTAAGTTGTAAATAAAACCACCAATAACAAGACCTACCAACGTGTGTCTATCGTTTGGGTTCAAACTTAAACTAAAAAAAAAACTTAAAAAAAAAATATGTTATATATTTTTTTTTACTTAGGGCCTTCAATTCTGTCGCTCCTATAATTTCTTTCGATTATAGTTCCAAATCCTCCTATATCTATAGTCCCTTTTACTATTACAAGTAACATTGAGCCGTACATTATCATTATTTGTATTACATCTGTCCAAACCACTGCTTTAATACCTCCCTGAATAATGTTAAAAAAATTAGTTTGGGATTTTAGTATTTAAAACACCTATTACCATTGTGGTGTAAAAAATGCATATAATACACACTATGGGTGTTATTAAATGAACGTTAATACCAGTGACTAAAAAAATATATATACAATTAGTATTATTAGGCTACTGTTTTTGAATAAAAAAATCATCTGTATAGTTAAGGACATTGTACCCACCTTGATTAAAAGCTAAAGCAGGAACGTATATTACCAAAGGTAACCAGGCAAACTAAAACTAATTCGATAAAATTAAATATTTACAAGAAAAAATCATTTACCAGCCCTATGGTAAACAATATGGAAGAAAATAGCCTAACTTTCTTGTCAAATCTTAATTCATGGTACTGAAAATATAAATAAAAAATAATAATTTTAATAAACATTTTAATTTATTTTTATTACCTCATATATTGATGTTAGGGACAATTCATGAAAAACAGGCAAAAATACGTTACTCAACACCAGTGCGCATAGTATAAATGCTATACAAATATACAGGTATTGTATACCATAAACATAAATTTCTGTTGGTATTCCTAAAAGAGAAATACCACTAACCCAACTAAAATAAAAAAATTGTTAAATTGTGTATGATTTTATTATGATAAACACCTGTAAAAAGGAAAGGCAAAGAAAGAAAAAAGAAAAAGAGAAAGCTTCATAAATATATTTACATGTAAACTGCCAAGAAAGTAATAAATATACTATATATAGTTGTTTACCTAGCAATCAAAGACATAGCAACTGGAAAAACCTTCATACTCCTACCACCAACAAGATAGTCCTGAGCTGTGGAAGCCGTATGCACACAGCCAAAATACAGCCCTATACCCATACAAATCATCAGCATCAACATAAACATTATGTAGTCGGGCCACCCGAATTTTTGCAGGGCCGCCCCTACATCTGCCACCCCTAGACCTGTCACCACCCGCTCCCCCATGTCAGCGGAAGAGAGCATCATCTGCGAGATGTCTGACATTTTGGAATCTAAGAGAAAGTAGAGAGAAACTTGGATGTCACAGAATGAAAAATAAACTATTTTTCAGATATCTTCTTTTTACATACTTCATCATTTTCTATACTCGGTGGTCAAAACTTAAGTAGGTATAGGACGAACAAAAATGCCAACCAAAACTGATTATAGACTCTTTTGGTAACACAAAAATGTATTTATCAAAATCCCAGCTGATCCTTTATTAAAGTTTTGCATATTTCTTAGTATTTTAAAATTGTTTATGCCATTTCGATAAAATACTCTAGTACCATTATCAAATGTTTTTAAAAATTTGGCAGATACATGACTGAAATATGGATAGTTTTGACCACCGTGTATACTATAATTTTTTAATGTTTTAAAAACTTACCTTTGGTATTTACTAAAAAACTAAAATTTGTATGTTATGTCAAACATATACTGGCTGTATCTATCGACTGAAAATTTGTTGCACAATTTTTTCCATAATGTTTTGACTACCTTCATTTTATTAGACTAAACACTAAAACAAATTTCTTTTAAAATTTCTCAGTAAAACTGACGTTTACTATACACAGTGATATAAATACTGTTAACAACTGATTTCAATTGAAGGATACAATAATAATTGCCCTAACCACTTACAATTCAGAATCCCTATTCCCAATTTGTCACAATTGAATAATAGTCTTTGCTCCAATTTTATTATGTTTACTAATAAACATGTAGGTACCAACACAATGTTTATAATCATAAATGCATTATATTTGCAGATTATTTTTAAATAAATTTAAATGTTTCAGGTTTTGATAAAAAAGTATTATTGAAATAAATTATTTATAAATACTGAATTCCTACGTTTGAATTTCAAACTTTGAAACAGTGTATGAGAGCTGATCTAATAATTTTACAATGTAACAATTTTTATTTCTTTTTTATTGTTACTGCCTCTTTAACAGGTCACGAGTCGTCACTGGTTTGAAACAAACATGTTTTTTTCATTCCCATTTGAAAACAATATTAATAATAATAACAATATTATTTGTTAATATGTTAAAATAAAAATGCAATTCAATTTTGAGCTCAAACTTGAACACAATTTATGTTTTTTGTGGTTAACTTGTAAAGAAAAATTAAGTAACATTTTTTTTAGTAATTCTAATTGTCTACAAAAATTTCATACAAATCCAATCTCTAAAATTGACATTTTAGGAGATATAGGAACTTAAAATGTTTTGTACATTAGACGTTATCAATCGAAATACTCGAACATGTATAGATGATAGTATAACTACACCCAACAAAATAGACTAACAAAAACGAAATTGATAAGATAACAAAAGCGAACTATTTTCATGAATTATTGCACTTTTGATGGTAATATGTACGAAGATAAAGACCAGTTGGTAAGTAAAACACAAAATAAATAAACAACATTTTATTTTGTTGCATTTTTAGGTTTTTAAACCTGGAGGTTATCAATATGTAGTCACCTACTCAGGTGGTATCAAAACTATTGAACAGGTAGGTACATATTATTATAGTAATTGGTAAATATTTGTAAGTTATTGTGTAGGTTTTTAATGCTATGCAAATTGTTAAATATTTGATATTTGCTCTATATACAGCCACGCCATCTATTAAACAGACTTTTAACATAACATATCTTAATAGTTAGGTATTTTACATATTTTTTTAATAAATATTTATTTATTTTGTAGGTATTCAGCGTCACAATAATTTGTTTTTTGTTGCTAAATGGCCAACAATCTCGAACGTATTTCTTATTCGGAATTTCACTGCTATCTTTAATATTATCTGCAATTTTCTCGACTATACACATTTTCACGAGTATCGAGCGGACTTTTATGCAGCTGTATTGGATCGAATTTGGTTTTTCTTTGGCGTTCGGATTGTTCTTTATTCTTGCTTCAACTGCGGTTTGGACCATATACACCCAATGGTTTATTGTTATTTCTGTGAGTATTTTTTTCGTATCAATTCTTTTACGGCTTACGTCTTACGTCAACCAATCAAAGTGCTCAATGATGGTGATTGGTTGACGTAAGACGTAAGCAGTGAAAGATTCATTTTTCGACAATTTTTTTTTAATTTTTTTTTAGGTGTTAGGATATGCAACCGCAGCAGCTTACTTATTGGACACTGTCAACCAATTTAGACTCGCACAAGTACCTAGAAGCAGATATGTATGGACTACGCCCAATATGCCTGCTTAAGACTATATTTATTGCTATACAAACCAACAAATAAATATTTTTTAGTAAACATTTTTTTAATTCCATTTCGTTTAAAAATTACATCATTTTTTATTGTTCTTAACAAATACCTACCTACCTAATTATTATAGATAAGATAGCAGATAAAACTGTTTGGCAAATAGATCTGTAGGTGCTGTAAGGTGTAGTTGTGATAATTTTAAACTACAAAATGGAGGTAAATTTTGTAGTAATATTTCATTATTATTTTTATTTATGATTTTTTATTTTTTTATGTTAAGATTACACACGGTGTTGGATATTTAGCCACAGTCAGCGGTTTGTTAAAACTTATTGAAATTGTGAGTACATATTTTTTTATTTTTTCCTATATAGTTATTAGAGTTTTAACTATGTTTACTATGTTATGTAATGGTTAATTTTTAATGTATGCAAAATATTTAGGAATGTATGTAAAATAAACAATTTATCACCACGCCTATGAGCTTAAAAAAAATTATAATAAACATGGTATTCTCATAGATTAAAATTTATCTATTACACATTTTATAGTAATTACTATCTTAAGTACTTCTTGGAATTTTATAAGATAAATTGTTTAATTTTGACAGTAAAATTTACTGAGTAAATACTAAATAAGTTAAGTAGCTACATGTCTATTTATATTTAAGTCGGACATCCAAGTACAACGAAGCGTATTGGAGCATATAAATCGACCTGTAGCTACTTAAGTTATTAGGCTAAAGACGACTAAATATATATTTTTTAGATTTTCGCATTTTTATCGATTCTTCTGATAACAATAAACGGATGGAGAGTGGACTACTTTGAGGCTTTCGTCATAGGATTAACAATCTGCATGTTTTTATCCTTAGTTATGATCATATGCGGATTGACGGTCAAATTTGAAACGTTGCTGAATTATCAGTCGATAGTGCACGCTTGCCTGTTCATTTACACTTTAGTGGTGTCTTCGGTGTGTCTGTCCAAAAATTATTTGAACAAAACTCAAGAGGCAGGAGGGGTAAGATTTTTATGTAGCCTGTGGTTGTTATTTTTTACATAATTTCAAAAATAGTTGTACACCTTGAGGAAATGTAATTTTTTTAGGCATTTGGTTTGATAACCTCGTTGGTCTATCTAGGAGATGCTGTCCATTCATATCTCCAATACAGGCCATTCTTCTGAATCCTTAACTCTAATTTTAATATATTTTTGTCATTACGACGAAGTAAAAGATATTTAATGTAGTATTTATTTCTTGTTAAAAATAGAAACCTTTCCAATAAAAATCCATGTAGTTTAACTTTATCGAAATTGATTAGGTTGTCTTATAATTCTTACAAAATCCTAAAAAATCCAAATAATCGTACAAATCCTATAGAAGCCCAAATACTCTTACAAATCAAAAAGAATCTTAATAATCCTTATAAAGATTTTTGAAATTCTTACACAATCCCCTAAAAGGACAAATAATCTGTAAAATTATTTGGAATTCTTCTATAGGACTTCAAAATTTCAAAAATTCTGTCTTTTAATAAATCCAAAATCTTAAGGATTATCAAAATTCTTACAAAATCCTAAAGACTCATCTTTTTAAAATCCCAAGGATTTTTGAAATTCATACAAAATCCTCAAAAAGGCCAAATAATCTTAAAATTCTTCTAAAATCACAAGGATTTTTTAAATTCTTACGAGATCCTAAATAAAGCCAAATTATCTTACAAAATCCTAAAGAAGCTCAAATAATCCTACAAATCTTAAAGACCACTAAAAAAGCACGAGAATTTTCGAAATTCTTACAAAATTATAAAAAGGACAAATAATCTTATAATCTTTTAGAATTTCTAAGAATATTTGAACTTCTATAGGATTTGTAGTATTATTGGACCTTAATAGAATTTTGTAAGAATTTCGAAAATTCTCTCTTATACTTCTTACAAAATCACAGGGGTTTTCAAAATTCTTACAAAATCCTAAAGAAAGCCAAATATTCTTATAATCCTTTTAAAATTACAAGAATTCTTTAAATTCTTACAAAATCCTAAAAAAGGACAAATAATCTAACAATCTTATAATTCTTTTAAAATCACAATTATTTTTTAAATTCTTACAAGATCCTAATTAAAGCCAAATTATCTTACAAAATCCTAAAGAATGCCAAATAATTTTACAAATCATACAGAATCTTATAATATTTGGACTCCTATAGGATTTGTAAGATTATTTAGCCTTCATAGAATTTTGAAAGAATTTCGAAAATTCTCTCTTATAATCCTTACAAAATCACAAGGGCTTTTAAAATTCTTACAAAATCCTCAAGAAAGCCAAATATTCTTACAAATTCTAAAGAAGCCAACATAATTTTGCAAATCGCAAAGAACCTTATAATCCTTACAAAATCACGAGGGTTTTTGAAATCCTTACAAATTCCTAAAGAAGTCCAAATTATCTAGTAGTAGTAGTATTTATTTTATGTTAAAATTAGAAAACTTATAAGGTTGCTATACCAATAAAAACCCATGTAGTTTGATTTTATCGAAATTGATTTTTTCCTATTAAAATAAAACTATGTATTTTTATGGTAAACCATATTGTTGTTTTTAATTAATTTATTCTAGATATAAACTATACGAGTATACAGGTAGGTAATAATACTATATGATAATACTTTTACTGTACTTTAATTTTAGGCCATATCTTGTTACTAATGAGTTCGACTTAATAGCAAAAAATAATTACATTTCTTTATCAAACGTTTAGCAAAGTAGGTACAATGTTTTTTGGTATTCTGGTCGCTATATTGTCCGCGGTATTAGTTGTATATGTGTATTTTAAAGTTTTTTTGTACACGTATTGGGACAATTTTAATGTGGAGACGATAGAGCCTACATTTCCGTTTGGCAGCATCTTTAAAATATTCACAGGACATTTTTCTCTGAGTGGGTGTGTTAGAGAGTTTTACGAAAAATGCAATGGCAAATTTGCTGGGATATATTTCGTAACATCGCCCGCAATTTTTATAAAAGTAAGTACTTATTATTAATGTTACTTAGATTAAAAAATCTCTTATCCTAGGATCCAGAACTAGTGAAACTGATACTTGTAAAAGACTTCAACTCTTTCACCGATACAGGGCTTTATTTGGATGAAAAAAAAGAGCCAACGTCTGGTCATTTGTTTAGATTGAAAGGGGAAAGATGGCGGACCATCCGCAACAAATTGACGCCCGCTTTCACAGTAGGAAAACTTAAAGGCATGTTTACCACAATCACTGACGTGGCAGATCAACTGAAAATCCATCTAAGTGAAGAATGCGATGGACAAAATATTGATGTTTCCGACTTAACAACTAGATATAGCGCCGATATAATAGCCTCGACTATTTTTGGCCTGGAAAACAACTCTTTCAAAGACAAAAACAACGACTTCATTTTAATGGCGAAGGACCTATTCGTATCTGAGAGTTTTCTGCGTATCTGCAAGGGTGCTCTGCAAGTTTTTTTCCCGACAATTTTGTCCTACTTTCACCCCGAAACTGTCAAAAATGCACAGGATAAGTTCATATATCACATGGTTAAAAATGTTATCGAATATAGGGAGAAAAATAAAGTCACCAGAGCCGATTTGATGCAGCTTTTAATGCAGCTGAAGAACAAGGGGAAAATCAGTGATGAAGATAAAGAAAACGATTTGTCTGTTTTTGATGAAAGTAAGTTAAATTTACAGTAAGAAGTGAAAATGATTATTTTTTATTTTTGGTTGTTTCACTGTTAGTCTAGAAGGGGTTTTTGGGAAGCCACCATTTATAAAAAAATCTACTTAATATGTATTTATTTTTTAGAGACAAATAATGAAGTGACCCTGTCTTTAAACGAAATAGCTGCACAAGCATACACTTTTTTTTTCGCTGGCTATGAAACCACATCAACCACGTTAAGTTTACTTTTATATGAATGTGCTATAAACCAACATTTACAAAAAAATATACAGAAAAATATCGATGAAGTTCTGGATAAATATAATGGTGCCATTACTTATGAATCTGTATCTGAAATGGAGTACCTTGACAGAGCCATATCAGGTAAAAATTTGTAATTTTATGAAACAATTAAAAAATTTTTTTTTATAGAAACTCTAAGAAAATACCCACCTTTATCGTTCTTGGCCAGGGTAGCTACAAAGGATTACGTAATACCAGATACTAAAGTAACCATTAAAAAAGGTAAATGTCTATTTTTGGCACCACTTAAGACTCAATATGTTATTTTTTAGACATGAGGGTATTAATTTGCGTTGACGGCCTTCAAAACGACCCTAAATACTTCCCTGTACCCAACAAATTTGACCCGGACCGATTTTTGCCTTCTGAAGTGTCAAAGAGGCCGCAATTCTCCTACCTACCCTTCAGTGAAGGACCTAGGACGTGCATTGGTATTTTCTTTACTTACTTTACAAAAAAACATTTTGACAACTTTTTTTTAGGTAAAAGAATTGGTAAAATTAAAATAGCGGTTGGGATGGCGATGATGTTGAGGAATTTCAACTTCGACATTTGCAAAAATACCGAATTTCCTATCAAATTTAACAAAATGTCTTTTTTGATTCAAGCGCAGAAACCGATTGTCTTAAACATAACCAAAAGAGTGGAGGAAAAAGAATAACCTATCTATGTATTGTAGTATTGGGGGTTTAAAAATAAAATATATTGTGTGTTTGGGTTTTCTTGTAATCCTTACAAAATCCAAAAAAGTTTGAATAATTTAACAAATCCTAAATATTCCTTACAAAATCTTAAAGAATCTTAAAAAGCACGAGAAATCTCGAAATTCTTACAAAATCCTAAAAAGGCCAAATAATCTTACAAAACCTATTTCCTAAATATTCTTAGAAATCCTAAAGAATCCTAATTATAATCCTTTAGCATTTAAAAGAATCTTGTAATTCTTATAAAATCACAAGGATTTTTTAAATTCTTACAAGCCAAATAAACAATCTTACAAATCCTAAAGAATCTTTTAATCCTTTCAAAATCACAACGATTTTTTTAAATTCTTACAGAATCCTAAAGAAGACCAAATAATCTTACAAATCCTAGGATCTTATAATCTTTTAGGATTTTTAAGAATATTTGGACTTCTATAGAGTTTATAAGGTTATCATTCTTACAAAATCACAAGGGCTTTTGAAATTCTTACAAAATCTTAAAGAAGACAAAAGTATCTTACAAATCCCAAATAAGTCCAAATAATCTTACAAACCCCAAGAAATCTTATAATCCTTTTAAAATCACAAGAATCTTAGGTTAGATGCAAAATCACAAATAATCTTACAAATTCTAAAAAATCTTATACTACTTACAAAATCACAAAGGTTTTTGAATTTCTTACAAAATCCTAAAGAAGCCCAAATAAACTAACAAATACCAAAAAAATGTATAATTCTTACAAAATCAAAAGGATTTTTAAAACTTTTACAAAAGTATAAGGGTTTTTGAAATACTTACAAATCCAAAAAAATCTCATAATCCTTATCACAAGGAATTTGGCCCAAATAATCTTACAAATCCTAAAGAATCTCATAATCCTTACAAAAACACAAGAATTTTTGAAATTCTTGCAAAATCATAAGGGTTTTCGAAATATTTACAAAATCCTAAAGGAGCCCAAATAGTCTTACAAATCCGAAAGAATCTTATAATCCTTACAAAATCAAAAGGATTTTTGGCTTTACAAAAGCAAGTTTTTGAAATTCTTACAAAATCCCAAGGAAGCCCAAATAATATTACACATCCAAAAAAAATCTTATAATCCTTACAAAATCCCAAGAATTTTTGAAATTCTTACAAAATCATAAGGGTTTTTGAAATTTTTACAAATCCCAAATAATATTACAAATCCTAAAGAATCTTATAATCCTTTAAAAATCAGAAGGATTTTTACAAAATCCCAAAGAAGACAATACTAAAGAATCTTATAATCTTACAAAATTCCAAAAAAGTGCAATTATCTTACAAATCTTAAAGAATCATAGAATAGAACCTTCAATGAATATTAGGATTCGGATTTGGGAATTGAGGTAATTAATACAGAAACACTGTAGTGTATACAATAAATTTATTAATATTTTTCATTACAATCTTTAAGGTAATATAAATAATTTGTAAACAATATGTAAATATGTCTATATGTTGTATAAAACATTAGAAAACTCATAAACAAAACTCAACAAATCAACATGATTTTTCATCTAGTAAATTTACAAAACAACCAATTCCAAATTTGATTTCATCAATTTCATCATTATATGAGCAACATTTATTCTACACTATAATTACAAAAATTAAGTTAGACCGCTTCTAGAAATTTAATATTATCTCACTTTATTTTTAATAAATAAATATTTCTTTTTTATTTCTTAATATTAGGTACGACTCAAATAAATACTTTTTCTTTCGCTACAATCAATTTATAATTAAAGCAACCTTGTCATTTTGGGGGAATCACAATGTCGAGGGTAGCCTTACAAAACAATAATTTTTTACATCGTTTCAATCAAAAATAATTCAAGTCAACTCATTGACTAGTTCTAAGAGAAATATACAAATCTACAATTATTGTAACTATTATGTATAAGTTATTCTATCCTTTGGCGATATGTTGAAAAACTAGCAACAAGTCCAATTTATCTTACAGAATCTTGATTATGGGATATTTCATTAACACAGTTAATGTAATTATTTTCAATTGAACAGACGATATTTTTGGTCAGTGACACTTACCTAACTATTTATAATACTTTGGTATATGGAATCTCATATTTTTTGGCAACAATGACTAAGTACCTATACAACCTGATGAATATACGTTAAAAAAACATTTTCTCTAACATGCTCGACCGGTAATAATTATTATTACCGAAGAGACGATGAAATGCTACACATTGATTCAAGTGGAACGCCTTTCAGCACCTTCAAGCTCAAAAGTTATTTATTTAATACTGTTAAGGTTGGCTTGAGGATGGCTGAATGGAGTTCCTGAAAGCAATATGGGTGGTTAAAAACACTATAAACATTTTTTCTGCCAAGTTCAGTGGTTAGTATAACCTACGGGTTCCTTCGTTTAGCTCGTCTTACTTCAGTATCGTTTTAAAGAAGAGCTTGGTGAAATACGAAATTTCAAAAACTCTTACAAGGATTTTTAATATTCTTACAAAATCCTAAGTAAGCCCGAACAATCTTACAAATCTTGGAGAAATTCATAATCCTCAAAATCGCAAGGAATTTTGAAAAAATTGTATCTCTTACAAGGATTTTTTAAATTCTTACAAAATCCTAAGTAAGCCCGAACAATCTTACAAATCCTAGAGAAATTCATAATCCTCAAAATCGCAAGGAATTTCAAAAAAATTGTATAACTCTTACAAGGATTTTTAAAATTCTTACAAAATCCTAAATGAGCCCAAATCTTCTTACAAATCCCAAAGAATCATGGAACTTACTTACCCGAATCACGGATTCAAAAATTCAACAACAACCGACAGTACCTCAGACATTCATGGCGTAAAACTGGGCGCCGGGGGGCTGATGGGGGGAAGTGGGGGACGTCATGGTGCTGCCGCTCTGGGCGGTGGAGTCCTGGGGGGAGATGCTGGCCGCCCCTTCGGGCACGCCCCTCTCGATGAAGCGCGACTTGGTGGGGGAGGTGTCCTTGTTGTTCAGGTTGGGGTAGCCGTTGGGGAGCATGGGGGGCGGCATCTGGCCGCTGTGCACGCTGTCCGATTCGGTTAGGGAGACGCTGTCGGCGGGGGGGGTAGCGAGGGCCCGCCGCCGACGGGAAGCTGTGGCGGTTTATTTTCGATACGTAGACGGCTTCGGAGGGGTACGCGGGGCCCACCATCGGTCTGTATCTCGGATTGGCTGAAAATGTCGAGATCCTTCAGATTCTTACAAAGTCTTTGGGAATCTTAAAATTCTTACAAAATACCTAAGAATATTGGATAGGTTTACAATGCCATTAAGAGTTCTTACAAAATCCTAAAGAATCTTAAAAATTGCATCCATAATCAAAAACTATTTATTTTGCAATCCTAAAGATTCTTACAAAATCTCTTTAATTAAGGAATATTTAAAAAAAAATAAAACCTTAAAAAATGTTTAGAATTTTTTTAATTTTCCAAAATTGTCTCACATTTTTTTATATTTATAAATTTTATACAATTTTTTTTTATTTTGAACTACTGTCCGAATTTGTCCTACCATTTTATAAATTTTATACTGTGCGAATTATAAAAAATGCAATACCACGCGACGCAGGCATTTTAAAAATTGTAAAAATTTAGTAAATTTTAAAAATTTAGAACATTTTGAAAATTTGCTATTTTTTATATTTATTTTGAAAGTTGCGAAAACTTAAAAATTTAGAAAATTTTAAAAATTTGTCATTTTTATATTTATAATACTGTGCGATTTCTTCCCACAATATTTAATATTGAAGTATTGTGCGAATTTTTCCTGCCATTTTATTAACTACGGTGACAATTTTGAAAAAAATTTGAAAAATGTGTCAATATTTTTGTATTTATACTACTCTGCCAATTTGTCCTACCATTTCATAAATTTATGCTACTTGCAAATTTTGTATCATTTTAAAAATTGTAAGAATTTAAAAAATTGTGAACATTTGAAAAATTTTAAAATTCAGGAATTTTTGCCCCAACATTTTTATATTTACTGTGCAAATTTTTAAATTTTGAACTACTGTGCGAATTTTCCCTACCATTTTATAAATGTATGCCAATGTGCCAAATTTGTATAAAAATTCTAAAACCCTGCGTTGCGTGCATTTTGAAAATTGTAAAAAAAATAAAAATATAGGAAATTTTAAAAATTTGCCCTGCTATTCTATATATTTATTTTGAAAATTGAGAAAATTTTAAAATTTAGTAAATTTTGAAAATTTATTTAGAAAACTAAAAATTAAGGAAAATTTGTCAACATTTTTATATTTAAACTACTGTGCGAATTTTTCCCACAATTTTTAATTTTGAACCAATATGTGCATTTGTCCTACCATTTTATAACTCTATGCTACTGTGACAATCCTAATACCACGCAATGCATTTGAAAATTATAAAAAAAAAAATTTGGTAAATTTTGAAAATTCGCCCTGCTATTTTATATATTTATTTTAAAAATTAAGAAAATTTTGAAATGTTTAAAATTTACAAAATTCTAAAAATTTGAGATTTTTTCCCGTATTTTTCTTATTTTTAAATTTATACTAATGTGTGAATTTTTTCCACTATTTTTAATTTTGAATCACTGTGACAATTTTGTATAAATATTCTAAAACCACGCATTTTGAAAATTGTACAAATTTAAAATTTTGAAAATATGCCATGTATTTTTTTAATATTTATTTGGAAAATTATCAAAAATTTGGAAATTTATTCCAACAGTTTAATATTTATACTACTGTGCCAATTTGTTCTACCATTTTTATATTTTTGCTACGTTTCATCTTTCGTAACGCGACCTTTTGGTTTCCCCTTATAAAACTATTTCTTACCTGGGTAATAATTACAAGTTGCGACACTCGCCTGCGGTGTCTGCGTGGCCCTGGCGGTGGAAAACTGCCCGGGCAGCGGACTCTCGCTCCTCGACCCCATCATATTATGCGGAACGGGCTGACCGTTAACGTAAGGCATCCTAACCACCCCTTTCATGACTTGCTGATGGGCCATGTTCGGGTTATAATCGGGTGGAAGCGCTTGCGGATGGATTCTTTGCTGATATATCGGCTCGATATATCTAAAAAGTAAAACAGCTCAGACTTTGTACACTTTTATTTATTATTATTATTATTATTATTGACTGCGAGATTTAACATCTTAAACAAATAAGAGAAACAAACAACAAAACACAAAATGCTTAAAAATACTTTTCTCCAACGATGTACAACTCATTTTTAACCATTTTAAGAGAAAATTTTAAAATTTAGTTAATTTTGAAAATTTCACAAATTATTTTTTTTAAATTTATTTAGAAAACTGTAAAAATTTCAAAATTTGTCAACATTTTTATATTTATATTTTACTGTGCGAATTTGTCCTACCATTTTATAACTTTATGCTACTGTGACAATTTTGTATAATTATTCTAAAACAACGCATTTTGAAAATTGAAAAAAAATTAAAATTTAGGAAACTTCGAATATTTAAATTTAGCTAATTTCGAATATTTCACAAGTTATTTTTTTAAATTTATTTAGAAAACTAAAAAATTCAAAATTAAGAAAATTTCGAAATATTGTACTACTGTGCGGATTTTTCAATTTTTAATTTTGAACCACTGTGCGAATTTGTCTTTCCATTTTATAACTTTATGCTACCGTGACAATTATGTATAATTATTGTAAAACCACCATTTTTGAAAATTGTAAAATTCTTAAATTTGCAATTTTTTTCATGTTTATTTTGAAAATAATCAAAATTTTGGAAATTTATTCCAACATTTTTATATTTACACTACTGTGCGAATTTTTCCCACAATTTTTAATTTTGAACCACTGTGCGAATTTGTCCTACCATTTTATAACTTTATGCTACTGTGACAATTTAGTATAAATATCCTAATAGCACGCCACGCAGGCATTTTGAAAATTCGCGAGCTGAGAATTAGATTGTTCTATCTGCCAAAATTTAAAGAGGAACAAATAGCAGTTTAAAGTTTAATTTATATACAAATGAAATTTTAAAAAGCTGTTTTTCCGTGTCAGATTTTTGAAAGATAGAATCTCCCAAAATCTAAACACGGAAAAACAGCTTTTTAAAATTTCATTTGTATATAAATTAAACTTTAAACTGCTATTTGTTCCTCTTTAAATTTTGGCAGATAGAACAATCTAATTCTCAGGTCGCGAATTGTAAAAAAAATTAAAATTAAGGAAAAGTTGTTTTTTTACATTTATTTAGAAAACAGTAAAAAAATAAAATTTTAAAAATTTTTAAAATATATTTATTTTAAAAGCCAAGAAAATTTTAAAAAATTTAAAATTTGGTAAATTTTGAAATTTTTATATTTCCCATGTTTTCCTTATTTTGAACTTCTGGTTTTCTGAAAATTGTAATCAGGTACAATGCAATTTGTGTTTTGTTTTGGCGTTTCTAATATTTGTTCACCAATCACCAAAGTCCTCCTTTTTCAAGTATACCTTTTATTTATTTGGTTTTGATTGGACACCCTGGCGTAGTCGGTTTGCTGGGGATAGTACGGATTGGGCGGTTGCAAACCCTCCAGGTGGTTGTAAGGGATGTACACCATCGTCTGCTGGTACTTGCTGACCTCCAAGGGGGGCGGCGATTGGGGCCTACCCCCCGAATTGCTCCTCGACCGCGGCAGACTTTGGTAGTACTCGTTGCAACCACTTCTCACGGTGGAGTTAACATTCCCCCTGTACACGCATCTGTTTTGATACAAGTTCTCGTCGGGGAGACTTGTAGGTCTGTACGCGGCTCCCAAGTTTGTGTTCCGCTTGTTATCCAGGCCGCTTTCAGAGTAGTACGGCCAGTTTACGCGCGTTGGTAGAGGCGGTTGCAGTTGGTTTTGTATTTGCTGCAATATCTCGGTGGTGCTTCCAAAGCGCGGTTTTATACCGCGCACACTTGGGCGACGGTTGAAACCGTAGTCGTCGTGTTCATCATCCTCATCGTCCACTTTTTTCTCCTCCGGTTGGTACTTCTTTTTTATTCTCTCTATTCTACTGGCGTCTTGTTGCACGAATAACGCCAACTCATCACCGGATTCGCTGGCAGATGGCGTTCCAGCCAGAACATCCGGAGCGTTGCCTTTATTGCCGTCGTTGAGACCTTCATCGATGTCTTCAAGGCTGTACTCTGTACCTAGAGAGCTCGCCATGGAAGACCTTTCACCCACTTGGTAGTAATACTCCTCGGGGTTATTAATGGCGCTAACGCAGGCCGTTAAGGGCGCCAAAAACCTTCTGGAGTCGTTGCTAGAGTTAAACTCTTGGTTGGGGCCCCCCAAATCCGGCAGACCCCCACCGAAATTGTTCTGCACGTCGGGCACTCTCTCCTGCCTTTTGCCGAACAAATCGGTGATCTTCTTGTACGTAGAAGACACGCTGGAGCTATTAGAACTCGTCGTGGAGGAAGAAGAAGGCGAAAAACTCTTAACATCACTGTTCGCCTTTATAAGGTTGTTCACTTCCGGGGAGTTACGAGATTCTTCCCCCGGAGGTGACACTCTAACGGTGGTATCTTCATCTACATCGCAAGTGAGCTGCTTTATCCTCTCCACCAAAGAGTTATCGGTTTTCCTGCGATTCTTCGGTTCGTATCTTATCAACGATCTTCGAAGAGTGTTCCTTTCTATGGCTCTCTTAATCGAGTCGTCCGTTTCGCCGCTTTGAATCAGCTGCGGAAGCTTGCTTCGTTTTGCTTCTTCGAACGCTCTCAGAGATTCTGCCGTCACCAAGTATTGGTGCACGTTTTCTTCTTCTGCGGGAGGTTTCACCGCAGGTTTTGTGCAGGGGAAGAGCTGACGTACAGCTGAGTTTGGCTTGAGGCTGTTGTTCGATATCAAGACGTGGTTGCCGAGTTTGAACGTCAAAGTCATCTCGGTGCTCTCAGGCGACACAGAGGTGTCTACATCGGCAGGTTTCAACTCTTCCTTCGAGGGGTTAACCTTGTTGTCGACCTCGTCGATGTCCTGCGTGTTATCCGACGCACCATCGCAACTGTCCCTTTTATCTTCATTGCTCTCTATGAACCGCACGGATCTTTTGTTGCCCGCTTCATCATCCGAGTCGGGTATTTGTTCTTTGACTTCCGCATTCTGCATGTCGAGGCTTTGCTGTTTCCAGAGGCGTCCGCCTTTTAGAATGCCGCTGATGGGCGATCCAGGGTTCGGAAGCGGACTGGGGGTTTTTCTTCTTGTTTCCTCCTCTTGCTGCTGAACTTCACGGAGCATTCTTTGCTCGGTTGTTGTCGTCATCGAGATGGTTTCCAGGATGTAGTTGCGTTGTTGAGTATCTGTAACGAAGGAAATGATGGTTATGACCTAATATTGTCAAGGCTAAAACTAACATCAAACTAAATCTCTAAACAAGCAGATCTTATTCTTGCCCTTTAAATGTTAAGACCAAATTTTGGAAAATTTCCTCTATTCTGTTCTTAAGTAAGTTTGAATTCAATAACTTTGTTAAAAATTATCAGATCTTATTGATTTAAAAACCAAGTGAAAGCCTAACAAGCCCTTAGTAAACTCTTTGAGAAAATTTTTGTTTAGTTATTTCAGAATAATTTTTTTTTAATTTTGAAACTTGTGAAACACACATTTTCGCATGTCCCATTAGCGTTTTATAAAACTTACATACATTTTTTTTTAATATTGAATAACCAGAACTTTGTGTTGCTTTATAGCAATCCATAACATCCTTAGTTAATACAGTAAACAATTTATATATAAAATAATTAATTTTATATCTACTTTTTTAAATTTGCGTTACGTCCGTCGCGTTACCGATAAAATATTAAAAAAAAACATATATATGGCAACTTTTTTGGTACTCATGTGATCAACAAATGATGTTCGGACGTACACATTACCCAGCTGAATTCATTTATTTAATCAGGAAGAAGATATCGGTTGAGACAGGTGCGGGTAACGCGAATGTAATAATTGTTTGTCCGCTAAGTTACTCAAAAAAATAATAAAAATAAGGTAAGAAAAAATACTATTTTTCATGTTTATTTTAATTTTAGGGCACTAAAGCTCATTGAGAGTAATTAATGACTATAATGTCTTATTATTATATTTTAAATATGGTTTTACAAAACTTTGTCCACTGCTTTACCGAGTCCACTATGTAACCTTATGGTAACGCAATGGAATTTAGGGTAACGCAATAGAATTTCTCGACAACAAAGTGAATATTTACCGTCGGTTTTATTAAAAGTAGTTTATGATCAACCAATTTAAAATTATTTGTAATTACAACTCATGATATAGATTACATCCAAGGAAAAATTCCAAGCAATATAAAAGTACTAAAAGGGACCTTCACCAGCTTATAGTCAAAGAAAAAGGGTGTCTACAATTTAGAAATCTAAGTTGTTATTCTGCAAATGGGCACCACTACAAGAGATTTTGTTTATGCATTACTCTAAAATCGTACCACCCTATATAGTTTCCTTTGTGTACCCCTGTCCGTTGTGATACCAATGTCTATTTCTTTACTTTTTTTAGTTTTTTTTTAAATACTTAAAATAATTTTTATATATACACTATCACTTGGTAATACGTGTTTATAAATTAGAGTATAATTCACTAATACATTGACTAAAAGAAAATATTAATGGTATTGTTTTTTTAACAAAGAATCGGAATGGTTTCTTTTAAAAATTAACTTAACAAACATACATATTTAAAAAAAGCATAAAATTTTTAATAAAAAATAAAATAAAAAATTGGAGTCAAAAGTTTGTGAACTAAGTACCTACATTTTATTTCAAATTATGATATCGTTCTTTTATTTTGTTATTTTTAATTATAAAAACAACTTTATACATTTTGTAGAATAACCCCACCAAAATCATAAATTAATTAAAAAAGCCATAACCATAACGATAATTGGATTATTCCACACTTTATTTCCGCAATAAACCCACCTATAAAACCGAAAACTACAATGTAATAAAACGCTATGAAAAATACTTTTACAATCGTTTTAACTTACTCGTGGTTTCCATTAAACATTTCTTAAATTTTCCCAAATACTTTTTCACTCTTTTAACGAGACTTTTCTTGTAGGCCATCGAGGTAATTGCAATTTACCACTAATTGTAGTCAATGTAATATTAACTATGCTGTGTATAATTTAATAATTGGTATTTAAAGCATATTAGCTATATGTAGGTATATATATTTCCTGGATTAGCAATTATCTAATACTACTATTAATTTAAACTACCTGAATTAATATTATAATACATCTACCTCTGTTGGGAAATGAAGAAATCTAAATTAAGAAATTTCAAAGTGTATGTTGCCAAATTAATATTTTGTTTATGCCATTGGTATTCAATTTTTTTTTTCAATCTGACATCTGGCAAACGTTTTTAACCTCAATTGTTCCCAATTTGCAATAATGCAGTATGTAATGTGGTAGTAAAATAAAGTTTACACAAGGGTATTTTTTCTAAAAGCTGTATTAGTCTCTGAGATACTAGATTAGTGTAAATTTATGATAAGCGCTATAGTTTTGATAAAATAACTTTGAAACAACTCCCATCGAATGGTAAAACTTTGAAGTATTAGAGCAAAGTTTCATCCCCATTGTATTTTACATAATAGGAGATCACTCCAAAGTAGAGCCTTATTAAAATGTAAATAATTAAAAAGGGAAAATTGAATCATAATATGAGCAACACTGATTAAAATTTTGACGTAATAACCATAAACCCTAGTAAAAAAAAAAGCAATAAAAGTGCAAATTATGGGTATTTACCCCAGATGGGGAATAAAAGCAACAATAAAGGGTAATGCGTTCAATGCAGGTTACGGTTATCACTTGAATGCTTTTTATTTTTTGACTTAACAACGTAATTATCGTCCCCGGAAATACGCTTAGCAGTTTAAAAAAAACGATAGACACAAAGGAATTTTTTACTTAAAAAATGTTGCATGAGCCGACAACATCGCATTTACATAATAATAGCTGGGGGTGGTATTTAAACAGCCCCGATGAATAATCACAATTAATAAAATGAAAAATTAATTTCGAACTTTGATCAAACAAGAATTTCACGGAATTTACCTTCAGCAATAAGATTTATGAGCGTTAAAGGGATGTCTTAAACCAAGAACAAAGTCAAAGGTGTCTTTTTTAACTCAAATCATATTTTCAGTTTTTTGCTGAATTAAATGAAACTCGCGATCATGAAAGGAAACGCGAACTTTTTCATTTCCGTTAAAAGTATTTGAGACAACGATTGTTTTGCGCGGTCAGTGTTGCCAATAAAACAGCCCGTCTAAAGCAAAGAGAATAAAAAAATGGGTAACTACACAACTTTTAGCGTATATATTCACCGTATTTTTATTTTTGGTGTAAACAGCTGACGCAATATGTTTTGTTACAATTCATATTTCGGAAATTGTAGATTTGCCCCAGACATAATCTAATAATTTGTGAATTGCTCTAAATTGGTTTGGACCCCTCATTGAATTACAAATTCCATTTCGGAAATCGAATTATTTGAAATAGGGGGGGGGAATAACTGAACCCAATCAATTTACAGAATATTTTTTTTAAATTTTCAACATTCAATCAGAATTTAATTATGAACAACTCGTTAACAAGTTAAAATAAATGGGGAAAATACCTAAGTGGTTTTAAATTATTATCACTTAAAAATATAAAGTAAACTTTAAAAGCTCGTATACGGTCCATGGTAATTTAGAAGCTTTTAAAAGATTAGCCAAACAAAATAGGTACTTTTTTACCTAATGTGATATGATTGTTTTTCGAATATGGTTGTACAGGATGTTTTGTAATAGGTTGTCTTTCCTTGGGGGAAATGTACACGGTGTTTTTGTATAAAGAGATGTTAAAAAATGAAAAAACAAAAACACCCTATATATTTAAATAGAGTTTTTTAGTCTAGTTTCAGTAAGGTTATTTTGTTGAACAACCTTAAAAAAATTGGGTTTATTTTGGACATATCATTTACTTTTCCAATCTCCCTCATTCTTTACATTCCTCTGGGTCAGTCTATAAAAAAACGTACACTCCAAAAGATAAATATACCCATTCCTGGTGACGTAATAAATACCGCCTTTTGTTTCTGCCCTCTTTTGTTTCATTTAATGGACGAAAATGTGCGCTACATTCGCGGCAAGCTGTGGATATATCGCACTCGATAAAAATGTGCCTTTTTTATTTAAGTACCCAAACAGTCGACTGTTTTTGGAAAAAAATGATAATAGTAAAGAAATGTTACCAACTTGCATTTTATTACATTTAATTTAATAAAGTGACAATTTTTTAACTGATTTTATAATTGATAAATTAAAAAAAATCAAAAACGTAAAAAATAAGTTTTAAATGCGACAAACATTGCTGGTTGTTTACAGTTGGTTTCCATGGTAACGCTTTTGGCTTTTGACATTTGCAGTGACATTTCTTTATGCAATATTATTTAAAATCCTAAAATGACTTGTGAATACGAATTATTGTGTTCTGTGAAACAAATGAAGTCAAGTACAAACTAAAAATTATTAATAAAAGGCACAGGAACTAAAAATAAAGCAACAGAAAACATAATCACCAGTCACCGGATCTTATACACGAAAATTACAGATTGATAGTTTTGGTTGGACACAGTCAACATTATCCGTTTATTATTGCAAAACTGTGCGGTGAAAGTTGACACAAAATTTATATGGAACTTTTTTTATTAATTTAATTGAGTTAAAAAGTATTCGTTTGGATTTATTCGTTAAATTACAGATGGTGGTAACGAATTTGTAATTACTACGGCACGTTTGGCTTATTTGAATTTTTATTACACTCGGTATGTGCCGGCGTTATGCAACCATACTAAAACAAAGCAAACTTTGCTGATTATGTAGGTATATTACTCGACAGATTATTCCCATACTGTAGCAAAGTTTTCAGATTAAAATATACTAATGAAATGGAACATGTTCTCTAGAAATATTGTTACAACCCTAATATGCATAATTTGTTTTAAAAACGTTATTTTTAGACATTTGTCCTACCATTTATTAATTTTGAACTACTGTGCGAAACCTTTTTTGAAAACAAATTTTAGAGATTTTTTAATAAAGAAGATTGACTTGCACAACAAAAATTATGATAATGAAAACCTCACTCCAGATAATCGTGTAACGGAAAAATTTAATAACAAGTTTCCTTTGAAAGAAAAAATCTCACGCCCGGCCTGGCGAACAAAACAGCGCATGAGAAAATGCATCGCGTAATTGTTTCCCTTTGGAATCTTGTTATCGCAAAGGTGGCTGAGGCGCTAATTATATTTGCAAAGAGGCCAAATTGCATGCAATCGAATTACGCACCCGACTAACTGACTTTGCCTTCTACCCACCAGTTACTCGCTAACGTGGTTCCTAATTACGAATATCTAATGTTATACAATTTTTTTAATAGATTTACTATAAATAAATATAGTTAACTTAATAATAATAATAATCTCAATTAATATTAAAATGTACCTTCACTAAAAAACCGAATGCGTCAGCTGTTTACACAAAAAATGAAAATACAGTGAATAGATACGCCAAAAGTTGTGTAGTCACCCATTTTTTTTATTCTACATATTTGCTTTTATTGGCAACACTGACCGCGCAAAACAATCGTTGTCTCAACTTCCATTTTAATGGAAATGAAAAAGTTCGCATTTCCTTTCATGATCGCGAGTTTTATTTAATTCAGCAAAAAATTGAATACATGATTTGTGTTAAAAAAGACATCTTTAACTTTGTTCTTGGTTTAAGGCATCCTTTTTACGCTCATAAATCTTATTGCTGAAGGTAAATTCCGTGAAATTCTTGTTTGAGCAAAGTTAAATATTAATTTTTCATTTTATTTAATGTGATTATTCATCGGGGCTGTTTAAATACCACCCCCAGCTATTATTATGTAAATGCGATGTTGTCAGCTTATACAACATTTTTTTTAAATTAAAAAATGCCTTTGTTTCGATATTCAATTGTTTTATTGAAAAATGCAATTTTAAGTACATTTTATTTTATCAATTATTTTTTTTTTAAATTTTTGTCAAAACGATTACTTGATTTAATTTTAACGAAATATTGATTGAATAATATTATGCTTATTTTGTTATACAGTACCTACATATACAGTAGGGTGTTTGTTATTAAAAAAAATATTTTTTTTTTCAAAACTGTTTTTAGTTTTAGACATATAAAACAAATAATTTAGATGATACACAAGTAGAGAAATGAACTTAAAAAAATAACGGTCCTAAAAACTTAACATTATTTACCTTGAGGGTCGTTGGGAGGGGTGGTAGGAGTGGTCTGTTGGCTTTGGTCAGTCTTTTCTTTCTCCTCCTGGTCTTCGCAGGTCGGAGACGCCGTCTCCTTAACGGAGGCGGCGGTTCTATAGACGCCGACGTCGGTGTCCGATTGCGAACCTTCTCCTGCAACAAGCAAATGAGAAAAATAAGATCCGAACTGCCAGTTGTCAATTTTAGTTATAAATAAATTTTATAATATTGAACAATTTGTTCGGGACTGAAGCATCACACCACCTAAGATAACCAATGAAATGATTTCCCGCTTGAAATAAGACGCCGGCCGGTCGCTCAACTGCAATCTGCATCATCAGTTTGCAGTTTTAGTTGGTGTTAGGAAGTGTATCATTGTGGGGTTAGTACCACATTTCTGGTGAGTAATTATTGAATATTATTTTTCCGAATAGGTAGGTAGGTGTTTGCAAAATTGTGCAGGGACTGGGATAAATCAATAATTATGACCTGGTGATCAAATGAGGATAAAAAGTGTTTCTATGTTGCTACTGTGCTACATTATTGATAAGCTTACTATTTACTTTAGTTTGAAATTGATGTTTTCAGTTTATATTAACTTAATTCTATCCTTACAAAATGTTTGTGTTGGTCGCTGAATACATATTTAATCTATCGACATTTGTACTATTATAAGTGGAGACGCACTTCATGTTGAATTATATCTCAATATTATTAGAATTAGCTATACGAATTTTATTTTTCAGTTTGTAGTTTATGTTTTGTTATGTTTATTTTATGTTGTCAATGTCAGTTGATATTAAGTTTGGGTATTCTATTTTCCATATTTTTTGTATAAGTCGCGAATACATAGGTATCTAAATTAATAGGTATCTAAATTAATAATCCAACAAATTTTTCTGTGTTTACAAAAAACAAAGTAAAATTTCAATTCAAATTCTAAATACTAAACGAACCTTTACATCATGAAAAATTATTTACCCTAAAAATAATTAATCTTTTCATAAATTTACGTGTGCATAGGAAACAGATTAAACTCGTTTTTTGTAAAAGAAAACAATAATTAAAACCTCATGGCGTGTTTTGTGTGTAAAGAAAAATTTCACAAAAATCTGTTTCTTTGTTTTGTCAGCTAATGTCAGTTAATGTTTAATTTTTTTTAATAGCCGATTGTTCCACACCATTACTTTGATTGTTTGGGAAATAAGGCCACATACAGGGTGATACAAAATAAAGATTATTTTGCTTCACCTTGCCAACAAAAACATTTAATGGGGGGATCTAATTAATCAGCAGTTCGACGGTAATGGACCCAAAAGTCTTTGTGTGTGTGTTTCTTCCTGGAAAAGCGATTATTTCCATCGAAACTGATTAATGGGAGATTGTTTCGGCTTTTATTCGTCAGGCAATTAATCAAAACCTAATTAATTACCAACGGCTGTTGCTACACCTTATAAGAAAGGTGAAAATTGATTTTTTATTAACTTAACGTTTTTATTATTTTTATTATTAACTTATGCAATTAATTTGGCTTTAGTGGTGCGTAGATGAGTAAAATCATGTAAAAAGGTAGTTAAATATAGGTGACTACGGCCCAGGAGAGACAAAGTATTAAAACTAAGTAAAAAACTTAGACTGTGGTGGGGAAGGAATCATCTATTTTGTCAATGAAATATATTTTATTGTAAAAATGACGTTTATTTTAAATAAACCTCATTTTTGTCTAATTAATATTTCATTGTTCAGCAAGAACCACGTGAATGTCAACAATATCGGTACAATTTCTCACCGTAATATCCATAATGACTAAATTCACATAAATCACCAAGTTCAATTAACTAAACCCACAGAATAAACCACTTACAAAAGAATCATAAAATAGACAAACTCATAGAAAAAGAATAAAAAAATATTGCGTAAATAACCATAGATTTGTTCTTTAAACAGTTCAGAATTTTATAACCAAAACAAACCTAAATAAGGAATCTGTATTTATTTTATTGGTTACTGTGATGGCTACAAGATGGCGATAGTGTTAAAATATGTTTATTTTAGAATAGAAATATAATTTCGATTAAATCGATTTATTATAAGAAAAATAATACCATTTATTATTGAATTTTGAAAAACGTGTGAAGTATAATTTATCTAAAATCCCGCGACAGTGTTGCCACAACACCTGCTTATTTCCTTGAATATAGGCGTGCCTGCCTCGCGTATGCTAATACGAGAGAAGGAGACAACTATGATATCGCATTGTAATAGAACGAGACAACAAGGCTAACGCCAATCGTGAGTCTAAATTAGTTCAGGCATGCTTCTGAGCCAATCATCTAGCTATAAATATTAGTTTAAATTGCGGTCGTTTCAAATTCAAAAAATTTAAATGTTGCTTATTATTATTATTATTTAGAGCAATATTTCTTTCCACTAATAAAACAAACAAATTAATAAACGAAAATGCTCATAACTTTGTCTGCATGATATGAGAGATAGAAATCTCCAAATCAGCAAAATAACTTCCAGATATTCCACTTTACCCCCAAAAGGTAATATTCTTTCTTGTTTGTTTGACAAATTTTCTTCCGACAAGATTACATAATCTTTGCGATTTGGTGGTTTCAAGTCTGGGTCGAACGAGGTAAATGCGGAAAACGTTTTTCTCAGTATCAGCGAGCCGTCATAAGCAGAAAATGTATGTGGAGAGGAAATGGCATTTTCCCGACTTTTTATCTACATCTATCGCTGGCCAGGTTCGTATTTTGCCATGTTGAAAAAAACTTTTTTACAATGAAATGTGATGTGCAATAAAGTAGATTTTATCATAAAAAGTTGTATTCTATACAATCCATTCTTAAATGGAATGGAGTATAGTAATTAAATTTATTTAAAAATATAACACAATTATAACTGTAAACAAAAACAAAAAAAAATAAACAAAACAACATCGTTTTAATTGCAAGCAGGACGTAAAAATAATTTAGGATTTCGAAATTGAAAGAGTTTCATTTTAATACGAAGCTTCAGGCTTCAAGTGCATGATAAAAGTTCATCACAAAAAGCTTCGCAATTCTCGGAAAAAACGTAATCTTTAAATGGAACGACTTGTGTAGGTTTAGCGAAAATTAAAACATACATAAATAAAAAGGTATTTCCACGAAAGGCAGAAGAAATTTCATTCATGTTGTGTGGGTCTAAAAATACTCCCATTGAGTTGATATATAAACAAATTGGCGGCAAGTCGCGTGTCTATGGTATTTTTAACCATTTTATTTGTTTTTCTTTTTGATTTACAATATTTTATGGCCTCAAACGTTTGCTTTATGTACATTTTACATACATAATATGTTTACACGACATATTATGTTTACACGACGTTTTAGTTTATAGAGCGAAATAATTGATTTAACAGTACACTTGTTAAAAAATAAAAATTTATGAAGCAATAACACTAAATATTATTTTTTGATATAATTTCAATGTTAGGTGCAAGGGTAAAGTTATTCTTATTTCAAGAAAAACTATCATATATGAGGGTGCTTGTATTTAAAATAATATATTATTTTAAATACAAGCACCCTCAAATAAAATATGCACTACACTGAAAGAAATTTGTTGCTAAAAGTAAATACAAATTTATACTAAAAATTTTATACTAGTGCTTTACACATTTATACTACTGTTTATTATGAATGTATGGTAAATTTTGTAATACATTTATTGTAAAGAAGATATGTTAGATCTAAATAAAAATAAACTTACCCTTACTATAAAATGTAAACTATAAGTGAATTACAGCAAAAAAATATTGCTAGAAACACCATTTATATTGCTAGGGCAGCAATAGGCTGCTAACCAAACGAATATATTTGTTTTAGCAATGTATGTGGTAGTCTATATATGAAACATAAAATATATTTGCCCTAATTATTTTTTTATTTAACTTTAGTATATATTTCTTTCAGTGTATGCTTAATTTAAGAATAAATATTTTTTGATACAAATGTTATAATTCTTGGCGATACAATATTTACTTTTGTATTAAATATAAGCTATCTTTATGTAAGTTAAGCAATAATTGTTTCAAATATTGCCTATTCTTTTTTTAACTTTTGCTCGACTTTAAATAAAGGTTAGGATATAATGACCATGTATAGGTATATAGGTATTTAAAACATTGTAAAAAATGTATGTATCATTTTTTTCAGGTTTTCGATATCAGTCTTAGAAAAAATATATATATAATATATACTGCAATGATTTTTTCAAACCTTCAGACACGTTGATTTTGTTTGCGAGACGGACATTTTTTGGCTATATTAGCCTGTTTAACCAAAATTTTTATTCGTACCTATAATCTAGAGGTAAAATATACTTTTTAATTATGTAATAATTATTACCTACACATGTATACATTTGGTGGTTAATTCCATCAAATTCCACTAATTTAGCAGCTCTTTCATAATTCAAAACCAAATATTAACTAACACAAGAAACAATCTTCCAAATTTAAATGTCAGACACTTTCGTGAGTGGGGGATATTTTTAAGAATAGACCAGTCGTACCAATATTTACTAATCTTAGAATAAATATAATTATATTTATATCCAGTATAGTTTTTTTATAAACTTGGCTTGTTATAAAACTAAAAAAAATCCAGTTTCCGAATCAAATAATACGGTAGAAGTGATAGACGTTACATGGATTGATGTTTCAGAATAAATTGAGCAGAATAGATCAAAAAGCTTTCTGGAACAAGGATTAAAAGGCTGAAAAAAATTGCGACAAAAAATATGCGCTTCATTAAATTTTGCCGCGGGCCCTTTAATCCAGAAATAACGAAATTTCAATGGAAATTTTTATAAATAGAACTCTTTTTTTTATCTATTTCCTTCGTTGTTATTTGGCTCTGTAAATAAGCAAATAAATGCCTTTTTGGCTTATTCAATTGTCACGTAAAAGTGTTTTGAATAAAGCAAGATATTTGGTCTAAAATCAAAATAAAATGTGGTTAGGTCAATAGTATATGCTTTTGTAGCAATACAAATTTTCTTTCTTAAGGTACGGTTTCGTTGATGCGACTCGCGGCTGCGGCTTGCGGCTGCGATTGTAGCCGCGCCACTGCTGAGTACAATTTGTGTGTATATGTTTT